TCGTGCTTTGTCAGTTTGTAAAATATTAAGTGTATGACAATAAGGAATTAAAAGTTGTTCTAACTTTACTAATAATTTCTAAAAAGATTCATCCATAATTATCAAATATATATCATGAGATATTGCTAATAGATCAGTTAGACGCTGACGTTTAGTTAAAGAAGTAGAAGGTTCAAATTTTGTAGCTAAAGACTATATTATATTAAAATAATTAATTAATTAATTAAAATTAAATTTTATGAAATTATTAAATTAAAAAATTACCTATAAAGCATTTTTAGTAGAATTTAAACTTTTATAACAACTAAGATAACTATTTTATCTAGTATCTTTAGGAACTGAAGGTTGAATATTTTTTCCATAAATTTCTTTTTGAATATCTTGGAGCTGACCAATAAAATATTTGTTATTAGCATTTTTAAAATATGCTGCTATTTTTAATACTCTATTTGATGTTATTTTAAATTCTGGTAAAGTTTTAAAAATTTCTCCAATATATAAATTTATTTGATGTGTAAAACAAGATAAGAAAATAATATTACGATATTGGATTCGAAGTTTTTTTCTATTAATAATTTATAATAAGTATATTATTAAATTAAAAACAATTATATAATAAATAAAAAATTAATTACTGTATTGCATTATAAGCAGGAGCACTATCTGTAACAATGGCTAAAAGTGATACTTCAATTTCATTGATCTTGGATATCATTTCTTTAGTTTTAGATATAACTTCAATATTTGTTTCACGTTCACTACTTACATCTATAGCTTGCCATATGTAAGGTTGTCCATCAGAAGTCATAAGTATAGTTCCCATTAATTCTTGTTCACGAACATTTGTCCATCTATCAAAAGACATTGTAACACATATTTGATCTAACTTTAATTTTTCTATCATTGTATTATCAAGATCTTTAGTTGCTTCGTGTAAAATTTTATTAGATAAAGTTTTTCTATCTGGTAATTTAATATTTGGATTAAGAAATCTAAATAATTCAATTACTTCTAAATTATTTGTCCAAGCTAATGAAATTCCACAAGAAATAGTAACTCGTAATAACAAATTATAAAATTTTTTTTTATCTTTATTTGAAAAAGGTCGTGCAATATATACATCTAAAGGTCCATAGTTTGACCAATTAGAAGAAAAGGATGATAAAGATAAGCGGGATGAAATTGATTTTCTTCGTAATAATGGTAATTGCGAATGATTTGGTAAAGTTAATACTGGTTCTTGCGATAGATTATTTTCTATTAAAAATAAATATTATTATAATAAATAATAAATAAATAATAAATTTATTTAATATTTTACCTAAATTAACTTTTTGTTTTTTATTATCAAGAGCGAATATTTCTTCTTTTTCTTGTTGACTATATGCATTTTGAAAATTTTGACAATTTTTAAAATGTGTGAGAATTCTTTCAGTTTTATCTATTATAGTTTTTAATTCTAAATGGTTTTCACTAAGTTTTTTAAAACAAGCTTTACAGTAACATAAATTGTTACTGGATCCACTTTTTTTATTTGTTTTAACAATATATTCTTTTAAATTTTGAACCATTTTTGTATAAAAAATTATAAATGCAATATTTTTTAAATTTATTAAATTTATATTAGTATATTTAATTATACTACTGTACTAAGTACAAAAATTGTACGAAAATTGTACGAAGTATATATCATACAGTGTACGATCATATTAATTATTATGTACTAAATTGTACTAAGTACATAGTACAATGTACAAGTACTGTACTTGTACGAAAATTTTATTTGTACATTGTATTTGAATAACCCTGCGCACGATATTTTCTCATTTGCATTATTTCTATTTACCTCCCAAAAAGTTATACATTAGATAAAGTTGGAAGAGTGATATATTTTTAAGTTCAGTGGAACAATTCCAGTACTTTTGTAAAGGTGACTATACTGTTCATCCAATTTTACTATTATGCAAAAGTATTTCTTTATTCTCATTTTCTATTTCACAAAGTGATTGATGAGTTTGTTTGTTAAGGTTTAAAGTAATAAACTGATGACTGAAATGATATAATAGAATGTCAATGAGTAAATGATACATTTTCTAAGCGGAATTATTATACTTAGTAATAGTATGAAGCAATAGACTCTAGAAAACAGATAATAATGAAGTTTTAAAAGTACTATCATTGAGAATCTTGCTCAAAATTTCTGAGAAAGCTGCAGAATGTAGTTCTGATTTGCTTGCATATTTGGATACGTATTGTAGAGCAGTTTTCATGCTTAAAATTAGTTTTAAATTGACATTTGCACACTAACCTTGAAGTTGTATTTGATTATGTGGGTTAAAATACAGATCATTTCTTGCAGTTATTAACTCAGATTGTCTATTATCATCACGTTGAAACCGGCAGAAACTAACAGACCTATCGAATATGCCATATCTGCCAAATAGACATACTTATTATTTATTATATTTATTTATTATATATTTAATATAATTAGCATATCTGTTAGCTCTGTTATTATTGTCAGTAGTATCATAAATACCATAGATTTTCTTTAATTGTAATTTTCCTATATAAAGGGCATGAAAATGCTTTGGAAAAAGGACAGATTTCAACAAGTTCTCAATATTGTATCAATATATATTTAATAACAATAATAAACACTTTTAACATTTTGCAAACTTAAAACTTATAATTTTATTCTTGATAACTAAATAAACTCTCTAATAAACAGTGTGTCAAGTTGATTGGATTTAAGTCATAGCTATTGCCTCTTTGACTTCAAATCATAGTTAACTTATTCAGCGGAAAGAATAACGTTAACAAGTGGTGATTCCTGCCAGAATACTACTAACTTTATACATAATGGACCGCTAACAGATTTAGTAAGGTGTATAAAGTTTGAAAAAAAAAAAGAATTGAAAAACAGAGATAATTCCATACATAATGAATCACTGATAAAATAGCAAGGTGTATGAATTTTGAAGTAATCAAGAGAAATACAATAGAACATATTGTCAGATATTATTTAAATTCCCCCTTAACGAAGATTATACCTATAATTGGTGTTACCCACCCCTCTATTTGATACACTCAAATAATTTTCAAAATTTTTGAAATTGGTTTCATTATGAATATCGAGCTGAAATTTACACAGCAAGATCAGTTATTGCTTTTAACCTCTTTGAACAATTAAGTAATACTTCAGTATCAGAACATCGTAATAGCCGATTAACTAAGATAATATATTAGTTGCTCTCTAGTCTCTGATATAGGACTATACCTTTTTCATCAGACGTGATATATTTGTATGTTTAAGGTATTTCTTTCGAAACAAATTGTTTCCAACAGCCTGTTGATCAATCCATTTCATTAAAAGTATATATAGAAATCCTTAATCAGGATTTAATACAGATCCAGAAAGATTGATAATTACTTCGATAACTAATTGCCTCTCCAATACCCTTGGCAACTAGCTTATCAACAACTCTAATTACCACTCTACCATCAGAAGCGATGATAGCAGTTACAGGTGACCAAATAAGACAAGCTCTTGAAGAAATCTTTGGAATAGATGGAGCTCGATTAAATGCATTAGGATAAACTGAACAAATGACAGCAAAGATTGATTACTTTTATGGTACTGAAGCTAAAGACCCTGTAGAATGGTTCGCTGCCTTTGAAAAAGCTGCCACTATTAACCGATGGATTGATGCTACAAGGAAGAAAGCTATAGTGGGAGGATATTTAAAAGGAGCTGCAGCTGACTGGTTTAAAGAAAATACAGTTACTATGGGAGATAATTAGGCTATAACCACTAATAATAGAAACAATTTTGTGAATATAGGTTGATTGCTAGGAAAATCAGGTTCTGGGAATTTTTTAGCAAAATTGAAATTTTTATTGCATTTTAGTTTTTGATGTTATTAGATTAAAATGTATTAAGCTCTTTATTTTAGTCAAAAATTTCTCAGAACCTGATTTTCCTAGAAACACTTCCATATATTCAATACCCAGTTTATCAACGAAACCTGGAAGAATCAATAGTACTAAGAGCTAACTTCTTTATGGCAACATTCAAATGAATCGGTGAACTCTTACGCTAATAAATTTCGTAAATTAATAAAAAGGGTAGGGTTAACTAATAATGCCCAACAAAAACGAATGTTTCTTATGGGACTAAATCTGACATATACCCTAATGGTATATACACAAAATCCTAACGACTTGGCCGCTACGGTAAACGCCGCTAGAAATATCAAAATTGGTTATAATTTTGCCACAGTAAAAATTTCAAGAGACATAAGTATAAACCCTTCTACATCTACTCTTGTCCCATCGAAACCCACTCCAGTTGTTAGTACTGAAATAGATGAACTCATAAAGAAATTGGAACAACTTACCATAAATTATGCCAATTTATCTTCAGCAATTCTAGCTCAACCACTAGCTTTGAGAAGAAGAAACGGACCCAATGAATCTACTTATAGGTTCCAGAATATCGGACCTAATACTAACATTTATCGACCTCAAAACACTGGACCTAATGATTTTACCTGCTATAATTGCAATGCTTCAGGACACATTGCGAGAAATTGTACACAGCCTCGAAGATATTATCAGGATAATCGTAAACTCTATTTTAGCGAAACTAGAGAAATGTATTTAGCCGAACAATATCTCGACGAAGATTACGACAGCTATGACTACAAAATGGATGAAAATGAAGAGTATGAAGTTTACTTGAACACCCAATCGAGACTGTACCCCAATAATCCAATGTCTCAAAACCAAAGGATCAAACGCGTGGAGTCTCAAAGAGAAGAAAACCTTAGAAGGTTTCCTAAATTAACAGTTATGCTGAATCTCGTTGAAGAGTTCACGCAAATGAATCCCACTCCAATGCAAACCAAAGCTTCAAGTAATCCTAAAAATATAAAAAGAAGATTAATGCTGGCTCTGATTGAACAATTAACAGAATTCAACGTCGCCACTTACCTCCAGAACCTTCTATGTGGGTTATCAGTTGGACAAGCCACTCATGCCATTCCAAATTATCATTCCGGTCTAGCTAGAGCTATAAGAAAATCCAGAGAAAAAGCTTCTGAAGAGTCTAAGAAAGCTAATTTAGCCAAAAGCGATAACGAGCCCACTTCTGCAGCTAAATGTACTCTATGAATTGGAAGAAAAGCTCAAACTGCTATAATTGATAGCAGCGCAGCTACGAGCATTATTATAAAAGTCTTACTGGATAGGTTAGGATACGAAATCAACTGAGACTCGAAAATAATCATAGTAATAACCAATGGAGCCAGAACTCGCTCCCTAGAAATTGTAGTGATAGGAAAAATCAAAATACTAACTTCCTTTCAGGTTCTAGAATCAAGAGACGAAATCCTAATTCTAGATAACGATTGGCTCCAAAATTCTAATGCTAACATGGATTGGAAAAAATCCACCTTAACTATAAGGAAAAATCAAACTACTATACGAATTCTGA